GGTTCACTTTTTAAGACTCAGCAACTTGAAAGCAGCAATGGTGTCTTATCTCTGTACCTTACCACCGGCAACCCCGCACAGAGTTACTGTTCAGCAGACGCTCACTGAGCAAGATGTTTCCTGTGCGCCCAGACCCGCGGCGCGCTTGCTGTACAGGGCACCGCACGTCCCATCCCTGGCACCCCTCCAAACCCACTGCCTTTCCTACCCACCCACCTCCCTCTGTACCAGTGACACAGCTGGGGACACAAATTCTAATTTCTTTTTTCCCCCAAAAAACATATTTTTATTGGTTTCAGAGAGCAAGGGAGAGGGAGAGAGAAATAGAAACATAAATGATGAGAGAGAATCACTGATGGGCTGCCTCTTACACACCCCGCACTGTGCCCTGACCGGGAATTGAATCCTGACCTCCTGGTTCATAGGTCGACGCAGATTCTAACTTCTATGCCATCTCCTTCCCTACTCACTCTATAACTTTGGGAAAATAATGAGTTGCCTCTGTGTCCTACCTGCACGAAGGGTTAATAAAAAGGAAAGGAGAAGATTAATTATTCAAATTAATATTTATTGAACCAGATCCTGTGCTAGACACTCTTTCATAAATTAACTGAGTGACAGACGCAGTATCCGGGCGAGACAGACTGTCTACCCTTCCCACAGATGAGGAAACTGCCGCTCAGGGTAGCTACGTGGGTAATTTGGCCAAAGCTGTGAAGCTGGAAGCAGACGTGGGTAACATTAGAAAGAAAATGGAGCATCCGTGTGGTTTCCAACTGAGTGACGGAGATTGTCATTCTCACGGCCTCGTCCAGCCTCAGGTCTCTAGGACAGAGGCCTGGCCATGTTCCATGGGACCAACTTCTGGTGAGCACTGCGTCTCACCTCCAGGCTCAGCCCAGGGTCTCCCCAGTGCGTCCTACAGGTCAGGGCAATGATCTCCTGCGTTTCTCCTGCACGTGTGCGTGTGCGTGTGCGTGTGCGTGTTAACCCTCACCCGAGGATATTTTTTCCTATTGACTTTTAGAGAGTGTGGAAGGGAGAAAGGAGGGCGAGGGAGAAAGAGAGAGAGAGACACATTGACATGAGAGAGAGGCATCGATTGGTTGCCTCCCGCACGTGCCCTGACCAGGCCTGGGGATCAAACCGGAAACTGAGGTACATGCCCTTGAATGGGAATCAAACCCATGACCCTTTGGTCTGGTCTGCAGGCTGACACTCTAACCACTGAGCAGCCAGCCAGGGCCTGCACCTTTATTTCTTACACCTGTCATATGTTGCTAGAGGAATGGGAAGGAATGAGTCTTCCCATTTTAGGTGAGAAAATGGAGGTTCAGAGTGACTTACCTAAAGCCTATGGCACCACTCATCAGCAAGAGGCCCCTAAGAGAGGCTGACAGGCCCCTGGAGCCCATGGGCCCACTTTGCTAAGGCCCTGGGGGCAGAGGGTGGCTTTAGGGGGAGAAAACCGCAGTGCAGCCCACAGACCTGGGCTCTCAGCTGAGGTCTTACAGCTGCAAAACGACCAGAGTCAAGAAAAAAAAAGTGCTGTCGTTCAGAAAGAGCGGGTCTGCGCTGGGAGGAAGCCAGTCCAAGCAGCAGAGGGAGATTGGGAGCTCCCTGGGGGCAGAACTTCTCTGACCTGCCCATCCCTGGTGCCTCGCACAGGGCCAGGGACATATCGGATACTCAATACATATTTGTTAACTTGAATATGGAACTTAGAAGGAGAGAGGCGGGAGGGAACTTGAGGGAGTTTAGGATTGAGAACCCAGCGCAGGGAGACAGCCTAGAGAGCGTGGGTCCAGGCTTGAGACACCAGCACTTGTGCTTCTAGTTTGCTGACTCCAAGCCCAGAGAAAATTCTCCGGGCGGCGGGGGCCTGTGGCTTCCAGGGGCCTCCGTGTAGCCAAGGGGTCTGCTCAGCTAAGAGGCTGAGAGAGTTATCCTCTCACTCCTGAGCGTGGCCTCCCCTCCTCTCAGCTCCCCAAACCCTTCTCCTCTGCTGTGATGGGATAATTAGATGTGAGAGCTCAGCACAGATGATGCTCCAGTTGCTTAGCAACTAATGGTTTCCATGGAGACCACAAAGCACAGCCTCCAGAGCCACCAGTGAGCAGCTTGGCAGGGCAGGGAGAAGACACAACTCTCAGCTCCTCCAGGAACCTGGGGATTTATGCAGGCCGGTGTGCCAGGCCAGTGGTCCTTAGTCACTTAGGGAGCTGGCTGCAGCTCAGGTTTCATCTCCAGAGAATCTAGGCATCGACCTTGGCTGGGGGGGGGGGGGGGGGTTGGAAGGAAAAGGGCGGGTTTAAAGCTACAGGGCCCTCTTATCCCTTTAAATGCTGGTCCAAGCTCTGGCCTCCCCTACCCCACTCTGTCCCACTCATAGTTTCAGATGTGGCTGGGGCTTTGGAGTGGGCCCAACACAACCCACCCTGCAATAAACCCAACTTCTTCCCCTTTCTGCTCCCTGGTTTGTGACTGACGTGGAGACAGACACTTCCCAAGCCTTAGAGTAAGCGTCCTCCTGGCTCAGGGACACCCCCGATTTGAAGAGCCCCAGGGAGGTCCCCTTCCCCCTGGAGTCCCGCCTTCTAGTCCAGTGGTTCTCAACCTTCTGGCCCTTTAAATACAGTTCCTCATGTTGTGACCCAACCATATAATTATTTTCGTTGCTACTTCATAACTGTAATGTTGCTACTGTTATGAATCGTCATGTAAATATCTGATATGCAGGATGGTCTTAGGCGACCCCTGTGAAAGGGTCGTTCGACCGCCAAAGGGGTCGCGACCCACAGGTTGAGAACTAGTCAGTTCTAGTCGGTTTCCTCCCTCTGAAGTTCTACTCAGGGTACAAAGATCCTCCTTCCGTTTGTACAACGATGGTGGAATCTGATCTAAAAGAGGACAAAGGCCAAGGTGTGAGAAAAACAATTCCATTCTTCAGGAAGGCAGCCTGTCCCAGGAGACGGGGAAACTTGCCCTGGTCTCCATCAGAGAGGCCGGGG